CAGATGTAATATATACAGACTTTGCAAAGCCTCGAAAAAGTGTGACCATGGCGTAAAAAGGCACAAAGCCGGTAAAAGGAATAACAGGAAAGTCGGCGATGGATCTATAATTTCCTCACTAACAGAACACAGAGAGTAGTCGTCAACAGAGTAAAGTCCGAGGCAGCTACGGGAAAAGCTCTGTTCCACAGGCACAGTACTAGCTCCCCATCTTGTTCCTCATCCTCATATCCGACATAGACAAGGATGTCAGCCACAGCACCGTGTCTTCCTTTGCAGATGACACCCGAATCTGCATGACAGTGTCTTCCATTGCAGACACTGCAAGGCTCCAGGCGGACATCAACCAAATCTTTCAGTGGGCTGCAGAAAACAATATGAAGTTCAACGATGAGAAATTTCAATTACTCAGATATGGTAAACATGAGGAAATTAAATCTTCATCAGAGTACAAAACAAATTCTGGCCACAAAATAGAGCGAAACACCAACGTCAAAGACCTGGGAGTGATTATGTCGGAGGATCTCACCTTCAAGGACCATAACATTGTATCAATCGCATCTGCTAGGGACCATAACATTGTATCAATCGCATCTGCTAGAAAAATGACAGGATGGATAATGAGAACCTTCAAAACTAGGGAGGCCAAGCCCATGATGACACTCTTCAGGTCACTTGTTCTATCTAGGCTGGAATATTGCTGCACTCTAACAGCACCTTTCAAGGCAGGTGAAATTGCCGACCTAGAAAATGTACAGAGAACTTTCACGGCGCGCATAACGGAGATAAAACACCTCAATTTACGGGGAGCGCTTGAGGTTTCTAAACCTGTATTCCCTGGAACGCAGGAGGGAGAGATACATGATTATATACACCTGGAAAATCCTAGAGGGACTAGTACCGAACTGCACACGAAAATCACTCACTACGAAAGCAAAAGACTGGCAGACGATGCACCATCCCCCAATGAAAAGCGGGGGTGTCACTAGCACGTTAAGAACCATACAATAAGTGTCAGGGGCCCGAGACTGTTCAACTGCCTCCCAAACACACATAAGGGGATTACCAACAGACCCCTGGCAGTCTTCAAGCTGGCACTGGACAAGCACCTAAAGTCAGTTCCTGATCAGCCGGGCTGTGGCTCGTACGTTGGTTTGCGTGCAGCCAGCAGCAACAGCCTGGTTGATCAGGCGCTGATCCACCAGGAGGCCTGGTCACAGACCGGGCCGCGGGGGCGTTGACCCCCGAAACTCTCTCCAGGTAAACTCCAGGTAAACATCTGTATAGGTTGTAACCTGGGATCCATATTTCGTTGTCCAAGTGATCCTTTATGTGGGTCTCAGTGAAAGCCGCGAACATTGCCTTTGCCTCTGCAAGCAGTCCACGGATGAAAGGTATTTTGTTGTTTGTTGCTGGCTTTAGACCCTGTATATTTGCCAAGAAGAATGTTATCGGACTGGTGGTATTGTTGGTACTGGGGGGGGGATTTTTTTTCCGGCATTAGTATCTGTATCTGTTGGTTTGGAGTGGAGGCCATCGACTGTGGTTCCACTCCAGGAATGACTGGATTTGGTGTACGATTTCTGCCATTTCCTGCCAGTTTTTTTTTCCTTCCTGGCACTAAAAAACCTCTCCCTCTTGAGTGGCTGTGGCTACCCAGGTTTTCCCATGGCCTGGATGTTTTGTATCAAATGGGGAAAATGTACTCCACATTTTTTGTGATGCTTCAAAATTGGCATATGGAGCAGTTGCTTATCTTCAATGTAATAGTGTTATCTCTCTTGTTATGTCTAAAGCTAAAGTGTCTCCAATTAAATCATGTACCTTACCTCAGTTGGAATTAACAGCCATTTATGTAGGTGTCAAATTAGCTAATTATATAAGAAATAAGTTGCAGGAGATAAATATTAGCGACACTGTAATTTGGTCTGATAATGAGGCATCCTTACAATGGATTCGTAATGGAAACAGTAAAATTGTGTACGTACAAAACAGAGTCGCTGAAATTAATCAGATGCAAGAGAAGTATAATAGTTTGGGTCAGCATATGTTAACATTTAATCATATACCAGGTGAGGAGAATCCAGCTGATTTCTTGTCTCAAGGTTTACCTTATGCTAAATTTGTAAATGCATTATCATGGTTTAAAGGACCGAGCTGGTTGGTAAATAAAGCTAATTGGCCTGTACAAAAGGCGTATATTACTCCCCGTTGAAATTACTGTGACCACCGCTCCAAATTTTTTGTCCTCCTTAGCCATTGATATAAATAGGTATTCTTCTTTACCCAAACTAATCAATGTAACTAAGTTGGTGTTTAAATTTCTAAACAAGATGAATATTTCATTTAAGTTTTCACATCCTCCTGAATATTGGATAAAGAGGGTACAGGAGGAAATCTATGGAAATGAGATTAAATTGATGATGGAAAGAAAAATTGTGAAAGGTTCCATAATAGAGAAATTGGGGCTGTATTCAGAGAACAGTGTAATTAGGTGCAGAGGTAGGTTACAAAATGCTGAATTGGGTGATTATGCTAAACACCCTATCTTACTGCCTAAAACTCATCATCTAACAAATTTAATTGTGCTTAATGCCCATAAAAATGTAATGCATGGTGGGGTACAAGATACCTTAAATTGTATTAGAGAAACTTTCTGGATTCCACAAGGACGGCAAATTGTACAAAGGGTGATTAAATCTTGTGTAATATGTTGCCGTGTGGATGCCAGATCCTATATGTATCCAGGTCCTCCACAATTGCCAAATGAGCAATTTGAGTTGTTTAGCAACGAACTCCGCCTGGCCACAGTGTGGAAAATACTGTATATATTTTCCAGAAATACAGTAGTCATATGTAAATAGATGGCCATACTGTATTTAATAAAATATGTTATGGAAAACGGGAAACTGAGCCTGCATCTGCGCAGGACAGTCGACATTTTGTTTGAACTGAATAACACGTTGTGAGTAATGAGAAGAATTTTTCGTGCTCTAGAGGTTAAATTTGGGCTGACACCTCTCAAATAGGAGGCGAAATTATTGGATGTGCATTCCTGCAAAACTTGAGATATCAGGCGACTGGACAAGATAACTCCAGGAACCTCAGATAAGTCTGTTATGTTATAACTCTGGCCAGTTGTTATTTTCATGTATAGACAGAGGTTTTCTGAGTATGATACACCTTAATCTCCAGTCAAATTGGTGAGTGATATTAAAATATATTCTCCTTCTGTTATATAAATGTGTATATATATAATTCTTTATTAATTTAATATACAGTCCACAAATTTATATATTTACCAGCATTCCTGGTGATGTATTTTTCATTTGTAATTAATAGGTCCAGAGCAACTTGTGGATATGACAGTGGTAGGTATCGAAGGGGGACATTTTTTGCGACCTAGGTGTCCCAAATTCCTATATGTCTAACTGATGAATAATAATTATCTTTTCATTTACTGTTATGTATATAATGGTACATTCAGATAAATGCAATTTTCAACATAGGTTTCCACAAGACATTCCTTTACAATTTTCAGGGAATTGATGTTAATATTGTTTTAGGATATTGAAGTACATCAGCTTTTGAGATTTTAGCATCGCATTACCTGTGGAAAATTACATTTACCTGGATGAATCTCATTAGATACATACAAGTAAATGGTAACAAAGATAATTATTATTTGTCAAAGTTCGAGAGACAAGTAGGAATTTTTAGGACACCTAGGTCGCAAAAAATGTCCCCCTTCGATACCTACCATCTATCTCTCCACAAGTTGCTCTAGACCTATATTAATTGCAAATGAAATATACATCACCAGGAATTCTGGTAAAATTTAATATAAATTTGTGGACTGTATATTAAAATTAATAAATGATTACATATACACATTTACATAACAGAAAGAGAATTTATAATCATAACACTTACCAATTTGTCTGGAGATTACTGTGTATCATACCCAAAAACCTCCCTGTCTACACTTATGAAAATATTACTGGCCAGAACTAATCATAAACATAGACATCTTATCTGAGGTTCCTGGAGCTGTCCTGTCCATCTGCTTAATGCTCAAATTATGCAGGACTGCACATCCAACAATTTCGGCTCCTATTTGAGAGGTTTTAAGCCCAATATAACCCCTAGAGCGACGAAAATTAAGCATATTACATTAGCGTACCTGTACCACATTCAAAAAAACAATGGCGTCTCCTCCCTGCTCGTCAGCGCAGGCGCAGAGCTTCCTTGTCGATTCTCTTATTTAAAATGCACTCAACAGAACAATAGTAACGTATTAATCAGGTTTATTTACAAAGCATAAATTTTGGGAAATTATTTTCCACATTACCAGTATTTAGACAAGCCTTCGATGTTACGTACAAAAGTTTCAGTCGAGACAAGCTTAATCAAGTAGACCAAAAGAGACTCCAAAATACACTTTTATCCATCCAGTTACAATCGGGTGAGAGGGAAACAGGCAAATCAGGTGGGCCACAACGCGAGGTTGTGCGTGCTGAGGTAGGGAGGGTCTGGGCGTGGTATCATCACATTAATACATACGATTCAGCCCGGTAGTAGCTGTGCAAGAGGTGGAATGATGTTAAAATAATAATAATAATAATATAAATAATAATAGTAATAATAATAATAATAATAATAACTTTTAAGGAACAGTATCTAGAAACCAGACTAGAGCTGAGGTATTTTCTTACCAAATCCATAAAAAAAAATATCCGACGTTACAAACACGGTCCGTGTCCATCAGTGGATTGGGACTTAACTACAAACCAATCATAGAAGTCGTCGATCACATTGTGTTTATAAAAGCCTGGATCATGAAGCCGTACACAGAGGTGACAGAGAGAGCGCTCACCACCGATAGTGGACGGCTGGTAATACTGTCTCCACGCTAAGTACTTCTGGTACTTCTGTAAACACAATAACGACTGGGTTACCTTTTATTCTGATGTAATATAAAGAGAAAGTAAAGCTAAAGATATGGATAGTTTTTGATGTGTAATAAAGAAATGTAATACTGTTAGTGGTGGCTGCTACTTTTAGATCGAGGGCAATGATAAACAAACAGGATTCTTCCACCGCAATGCTACAATGCAGCTTAGTATTATCTGGATGTCTTATGTATTCAGCCGTCTGCAGAGGTGAGTAGATATCTAGGCACCTCTGTGTTCGACGGCAAAAGCCTGCAGAGCAGGTGAAACGTTTCACCATTAAAGATACCCAACTTTTTCTATGCCCCTACAAAAGTAATACTACATTTGAAGATGAAGAAGTCAAATTTCTAATTTTTGAATCTCAAACTCAACCAAATGCAGTAATGAAGGGTGGACAAATTGAACTAAAAAAATAAGCTTTTAATTCAGTGCATAAAATGCAAATATAAATTAAGTAATTAGAAAAGTTTCTGGTAAAATAAACGGAATTGTGCTTTTCATTATGACACTTTGTCGCACCCTCTGAAATGCCATCTCTCAGCCCCTGGGGGGTGTGCACCCAGGTCAGGAACCCCTCGATTAAAGACTAATGAAACGTGTATAATTTTATGGGATCTTGTACTCATTTTTATTCATTTTCAATTCACTTCCCGTTTCTCTCTACCTTTATCCGTTTCATTTTTTCATTGCTCTCATCACAAGAAAACAAGGTAATTCCATTCAAGTGTTGGAAGGGCGTGTTGGTGCTATTTTTTTTATGCCGCCTGAGTGGCTAGTTTTTCGTGCATCCCATGCCTATCCTGTGAGCGGTAGCGAAAAAGGATTACAGAAGCCATAATTAGTCTTTTTCAGGCCTCACTAGGCATTCTTACATCATAAAAAAAAATATATATATATATTACAGCCAATTCACATATTTCGGTTTCATCATATAGCTTCCTTGAATCAAATATGATTACTTCTCATCTCAAGGCAATATATAACCCCTACAGGTTTAGTGATTCCAAAGAAATACAATACAAGAGAAAAGTCTTACCTGTGGGTTTCTCGCAAGAACCTTTAGTTTGGTTGCCAGTTCTCTGGGTGTGTACTGCCGAGCATCAATGTAAGAGTTGGGAGGCATGGCGGCTGAGTAGTTAGCTGCCCCGAGCACAACAGGCACCATCGGGTAATACATGAGGTTGTACAGCTTTTCTGTAACGTAGTCGGTGCAGAGGGAGTTCTCAAAGGCCAAGTAGAAGAGATATCTCTCACCTGCCATTTTTAAACAGCGATCTTTGGTCGGGTCATACCTGTGATTGACATATAAAGATCGACCGCACTTCAAATTGCCGCACTTGCCAAAGATATCGACTGTTATGTATTTTTTTAGGGCTCTTATATACTCCAAACGATCACTCTTTGCATGGCAATTGGAGATAAATGCCACGACCATTTTACGTGTATGAAAGTTGCCTGGGTGTTGCACTGGGGGTACATGCCACGACTTAGGGAGGAGACTGGCTTCATCTCGACGGACGATGAACCCGTGAGGAACTACAACATCCGCATCCCTGCGGTACAACATTGTGCGGTTGAAGATGCCGCCCAGGGTTCTGTAGTCGGTGTGGTGGATGCTGTTGGCTAAGGGCGGCGCCTCGAAGGAGCTGACGATCCAGGGCTGGGTGGGGTCACGGGGTGCCAGCTCTGCCAGGAGATGATCCCTGCTAGAAACCCCACGCAGGTACACCACCACAGCATCAACACTGCTCATCTGTAACATAACCAGCACTCATTATAGTCCCAAATATTTATTGTGATCCCATATAATGTCTGACTTAAGTTATGTGGTAAAGTATGAATATCTCACAATCGGGGATACTATAGTTTAAATATTATTTATATTTCAGATCATTTTTATTATTGTCATTAATTATTGTTCTTACTAACATTATTAATACATCGTTAATAGCCGCATGTCACTGCACTTTTAAAGAAACTTCTTAAAATGTTTGTCTCATCTGTCATGAAGTCACTTGACTCACGAAATCGTAATGACACGATTGCAAACAAACCATACCACGGGCGGGATTGAACCCGCCCGTGGTATGGTTTATGAAGTCACTTGTGAGTAGCCAGCCGAATCAGCTAGGTCAGGTGATCACAGTATCACGTATGGGAGAGACAAAGCCTAGCTACATCTTGGAAGGATGCGAATGAGTCTGAGTTCTTATTAATGTTATTGTTTATGGTTATTTTAAATATAATTTTCAGATTATATTTACAAAAAATATGAAGGTCAGTGAGGATAAATTTCAACTACTCACCTATGGAAAACTTGAGGAAATTTAAACTGTATCAGGGTATACAACAAATTCTAAGCACACAATAGAGCGAAAAACTAATGCGAAGGACTTGGGAGTGATAATGTTATAGAATCTGACCAAAGATTACAACAATGTATCTACCTCATCTGGTAGAAAAATGATAGGATGGATCATGAGAACCTTCAAAAGTAGGGACGCCAAGCCCATGATGACTCTTCAAATCGCTTGTCCTCTCTAGGCTGGAACACATTAACTGCCACCGTCAAGGCAGGCGAAATTGCTGAACTGGAGAATGTACAGATAACTTTCACGGCACACATAAGTACGATAAAGCACATAAATTACTGGGAACGGTTGAAGTCCCTTGATTTGTATTCCCTGGAACGCAGGCGAGAAAGATACATCATAATATATACTTGAAAAATCTGTTACTGCAGCCAGCAGTAACGGCCTGGTTGATTAACCCTGATCCACCACTAGGCCTGATCTCAGACTTCGCCGCAGGTGCGTTGACCCTCGAAACCTTCTCCAGGTATAGTTATAATTAATAATATCAATGTATTTTTTATGTAAATTAGTGTAACATACTGTATTTAATAAAAATTTATGTTATAAAAAATAAGAAATTCTGTGCCGGCACAGAAGAAACTCGCCGTGCTTGAATTGAAACAACAAAACGTTAGTGAATAATGGGAAGAATTTTAATGCTCTAGAGGTAAAATTAGGCTGACACTTCTCAAATAGGAGCCGAAATTGTTGGATGTGCATTCCTGCATAACTTGAGATATCAGGCGACTGGACAAGACAGCTCCAGGAACCTCAGATAAGTTTATGATTGTAACTCTGGCCAGTGTTGTTTTCATGGATAGACAGTGAGGTTTTCTGAGTATGATACACCTTAATCTCCAGTCAAATTAGTGAGTGATATTAAGATATATTCTCCTTCTGTTATATAAATGTGTGTATATATATATATAAATATAATATATATATATATATATATAATATATATATATATATATATATATATATATATATATATATATATATATATATATATATATATATATATATATATATATAATCATTTATTAATTTTAATATACAGTCCACAAATTTATATATTTACCAGAATTCTTGGTGATGCATATTTCATTTGTAATTAATAGGTCTAGAGCAACTTGTGGATATGACAGTTGTAGGTATCAAAGGGGGACATTTTTGCGACCTAGGTGTCCCAAATTCCTACTTGTCTATGTAACTTTGATAAATAATAATTATCTTTGTTATCATTTACTGTTATGTACATAATGAGTTACATTCAGATAAATGCAATTTTCCACATTTAATTTGCCCGTTGGTCCTTCTTGAACCGGAGGTAATTAGTGAAGTCATTAATTAGTTAATTTCTTAATAACTATATGTGAAATGACAGAAGGAGGTGGATGTTAAGTTCACAAATTTACTTAATGTGTAGTGGATTATAATTATTACAATATTAATTTGGATAAGCCAAGTGTGGTTAAAGATTATATTGTGTATAATATTAATTTTGCTATGCCAAATTCTGGCAAGGATTTATATTAATTTGTATAATATTAATTTTGATAAGCCAGGTCTGGCTAAAGGTTTGTATTAATGCACATTTAAAATTTATATTATAATTGTCTTACATGTGTAACTACTCAGCTCAAGTGTAGCTAACATTATTAATGTGTATTTAAAATTTATATTATAATTTTCTTACATGTGTAATTTCTAAGCTCAAGTGTAGCTAACATTATTTACGTGTATTTAAAATTTATATTATAATTTTCTTACATGTGTAATTACTAAGCTCAAGTGTAGCTAACATTATTAATATGTATTTAAAATTTATATTATAATTTTCTTACATGTGTAATTACTAAGCTCAAATGTAGCTAACATTATTAATGTGTATTTAAAATTTATATTACAATTTTCTTACATGTAATTGCAAAGCTCAACTGTAGCTAGGATTTATTCAAAGGTAAGTTGTACTATTTACCTTTAAAAAGTGCATAATTTAGTACATAATCAGTGTTATTAATTAAGTTGAATTTAATACATTGCATCATGGCTGAAAATAAGGAAATTAATGTAGAAGACAAATTATGGAATATAGAGCAAAGAAAGCATCATTGCAGGCTAGAAAAGGTCATGTAACCAAGGCATATAATAAATGTTTGGAATGAATGAATCAAGAAACTGTGAATACTGATGATTTAAAATTGTATTTAGATGCTTTAGGGAATAGATATGATTCATACAAATTATATTACAACATATGGGGTGCCAGGTGTAAATGATAATGGGAGCCCTTTGATTGAACTTTGTATAGAAAGGGGTTTAGTTATAGGTAATACATATTTTAAGAAAAAGAGGATAAATAAGTATACACGATATGATGTAGGGCGAAATGACAGTAGTTTGTTGGATTATGTATTGGTAGATAAAAGACTGTTGAGTAGACTTCAGGATGTACAGTTTTATCGAGGGCCACAGATATATCAGATCACTTTCTAGTTGTAGCTACAATGAGAGTAAAAGGTAATGGGATACAAGGAGAATAGAAGCATCAGGGAAGAGAGAGGTGAAGGTTTATAAACTAAAAGAGGAGGCAGTTAGGGTAAGATATAAACAGCTATTGGAGGATAGATGGGCTAATGAGAGCATAGGCAATGGGGTCGAAGAGGAATGGGGTAGGTTTAAAATGTAGTGTTAGAGTGTTCAGCAGAAGTTTGTGGTTACAGGAAAGTGGTGCAGGAGGGAGGAGGAGCGATTGGTGGAATGATGATGTAAAGAGAGTATAAGGGAGAAAAAGTTAGCATATGAGAAGTTTTTACAAAGTAGAAGTGATGCAAGGAGGGAAGAGTATATGGAGAAAAAGAGAGAGGTTAAGAGAGTGGGGGAAGCAATGTAAAAAGAGAGCAAATGAGAGAGTGGGTGAGCTGTTATCAACAAATTTTGTTGAAAATAAGAAAAGTTTTGGAGTGAGATTAACAAGTTAAGGAAGCCTAGAGAACAAATGGATTTGTCAGTTAAAAATAGAGAGGAGAGTTATTTAAATGGAGAGTTAGAGGTATGGGAAGATGGAGGAATATTTTGAGGAATTGTTAAATGTTGATGAAGATAGGGAAGCTGTGATTTCGTGTATAGGCAAGGAGGAATAACATCTTGTAGGAGGAGGAAGAGCCAGTTGTGAGTGTGGGGGAAGTTCGTGAGGCAGTAGGTAAAATGAAAGGGGTAAGGCAGCCGGTTTGATGGGATAAAGATAGAAATGTTAAAAGCAGGTGGGGATATAGTTTGGAGTGGTTGGGGGCAATTATTTAATAAATGTATAAGAGGGGAAAGGTACCTAGGGATTGGCAGAGAGCATGCATAGTTCCTTTGTATAAAGGCAAAGGGGATAAAAGAGAGTCAAAAATTATAGGGGGATAAGTCTGTTGAGTGTACCTGGTAAAGTGTAGGGTTTAGAGTTATAATTAAAGAATTAAGAGTAAGACGGAGAATAGGATAGCAGTTTGAACAAGGAGGCTTTAGGAAAGGTAGGGGTGTGTGGACCAGGTTTTACAGTGAAACATATAAGTGAACAGTATTTAGATAAGGCTAAAGGGGTCTTTGTGGCATTTAGGGATTTGGAAAAAGGCGTATGACAGGGTGGATAGGGGGGCAATGTGGCAGATGTTGCAAGTGTATGGTGTAGGAGGTAGGTTTACTGAAAGCAGTGAAGAGTTTTTACGAGGAAGTGAGGCTCAAGTTAGAGTATGTAGAAAAGAGGGAATTTTTTCCCATTTAAAAAGTAGGCCTAACAAGGATTTGTGATGTCACCGTGGTTTGTTTATATATTTATAGATGGGGTTGTAAGAGAAGTAAATGCGAGGGTCTTGGCCAAGAGGCGTGGATTTAAAAAGATAAAAAATCACACACAGGGTGGGAGTTGTCACAGCTGCTCTTTGCTGATGACACTGTGCTCTTGGAGATTTCGAAGAGAAGCTGCAGAGATTGGGGATGAATTGGTAGGGTGTGCAAAAGAAGAAAATTAAAGGTGAATACGGGAAAGAGTAAGGTTATGAGGATAACAAAAAGATTAGGTGATGAAAGATTGAATATCAATTGAGGGAGAGAGTATGGAGGAGGTGAACGTATTCCAGATATTTGGGAGTGGACGTGTCAGCGGATGGGTCTATGAAAGATGAGGTAATCAAAAAATTGTTTGAGGGAAAAAGAGTGAGTGGTGCACTTAGGAGTCTGTGGAACAGAGAACTTTGTCCTTGGAGGCAAAGAGGGGAATGTATGAGAGTATAGATTTTACCAACGTCTTATAGGGGTGTGAAGCATGGGTGATGAATGTTGCAGCGAGGAGAAGGCTGGAGGCAGTGGAGATGTCATGTCTGAGGGCAATGTGTGGTGTGAATAAAAATGC